GTGGGGCTGTGTGAGGGTTGATGCGAAGGGGGGGGGGGGTAGATTTTTTTTTTTTTTTTTGGGGGGGGAGTGGATTTCTGTATGTACGTTCTGGTTTTTTGTTTTTATTTTGTTTTTGTCTCAAGGGTACTTCTGTGCGTATATATGTGTATATATATATCTTGTTGCATGTGTGTGTGTAAAACACGATAAATAAGAATGTCTGGAAGTTATAATGAATAAGGCCTGATTCAAACCTAACGCTCACGCTCACACTCTTGCTGTCGCTCACGGTTGAGCACGCTCAAAATATCTTTTGCTTCGATCGTGAGCTTGATCGTCATGATGAGTAGAGCTGAGCGTAGATGATTGAGCGGACGGTTTGAATACTATGCCTGTTTATCATTATAGAATATTTGAGTGCGATCACTTGCGTGCGCGTGAGTGTGAGCGTGAGCGTTAGGTGTGAATCAGGCCTAAGCAGTATGTATAAACGCACACACATATATATGTATACTGTGCATATATATATATATATATATATATATATATATATATATATATATATATATATATATATACATACCTATATATATAGGTATATATATATATATATATATATATATATATATATATATATATATATATATATATATATATATGTATATACGCATATGTATAAATATATATGTACTGTATATACATATCTATCAATTTATATAAATTTCATATTGATTTCATTTCTAATTGTGGCTGTTTTCATTTTCGTTTTTGTGTACACGTTAGAGTGTTTGTGTTTGTTCATGCCCCCCCCCCCACACACACACATATGTATATACACATATATATGTAAATATATACATATTTACTATATATATATATATATATTTCGTATATATATATATATATATATATATATATGTATATATATATATATATATATATATATATATATATATATATATATATATATATATATATGCAAGCATATATATATACTCATACATACATATGCATAAATATACGTGTGAGTATGTGGATGCATGCATTTAGATTTTTATATATAAGCATATATATATATATATATATATATATATATATATATATATATATATATATATATATATATATATTTATATATATATATATATATATATATATATATATATATATATATATATATATATATATATATATATATATATATATATATATATATATATATATATATATATATATATATATATTTATTTATTCATATAAACACACATACGTACGTGTGTGTATGTACATTATATATATATGTATACACATTCATACACACAAACATATATATGTCTCTACACATACTACCTGATTTCACCTTTCCTTAAATTGGTGCGAAAATGTATATTTTACTAGTGCTATGAATATTTTTTATTATATACATTATAATCATTAAGTTATAAACATTAGTAATAGCAAAAAATTATAACGTAAAATATTTTCGTAAATTAAAGAAAAGGGTAAACGGGCAAGACAGGCAGTACTCGTAATTGGCTCATTGGTGACTTAGTACAAGTGCTGCCATCTATGTGTAAAAAACAATCAAACAAGTAAACTCACAGTGGGCATGGCATGGAATGTCCGTCGGCAATGGGTTAATCAGAACAGCCTGGCAATAATGGAGACTGACAATATTGCAAAAATATAACTAAAGTATATTATATAACTAAAGTTGCTATTTTCTACTTATATGTATATATATATATATATATATATATATATATATATATATATATATATATATATATATATATATATATATATATATATATATATATATATTTATATATTTGTATTTATCTATCTATATACATATTTTATGCATGTGCATGTGTGTGTTTCTTAAGCTTCACTTCTATATGATATATCAGACCAAAATATACAGGAAATTGTGTATTTTCTGAAATCATAACGCTCAAATATCAATTCCAATTAAAATACATTTTGTTCTTCAGACACGAATATCAAAATCCATACACTATAGCATAACCATAATAAAAAGTCTTTACAAAGAAAACCACAGACAGGCAACTTATCGTCAACAAATCAACATTGTCCAAAATTACACTTATTCGCAATTTTTCCTGCATTTTAACTGGTTTCACGCGCGTGTCTTGTATCGTTTCGAAGTGACTTTACACGCAAAGGCACATGACAGATGTCGCATAATGTATAACCCTGTCATATAGGATCTCTAGTTTGTCACCTTTGTGTCCTGGTAGGAGTTGGTTTTTTAGTCACTCGCGACGTTTGAAGGAGGTTCGAACTCCCGAATACAAAACTTTAATTTGAATGATGTAAGTGGAAGAGCATCATTGATTCAAGAAAATTATGAAATAACTTTAATAACTCAAATGAAATAAATTTTAAATAGTTCAACTTTTATTTTTTTTTCTTCAATCATTGGGAGGGAAGGACCAGACATTTTCTGGAGTAAACCATTAACATTAATGAAGGTAAAAGTCAGCGTTGAGTA